AAATGAGGGAGAGTGCAGCTTTTATAGGCATCCTCTCCACTATGTACAATGTATGTGGCCATCGTAAATGAACGAACCTAGAAGTCCCCCCATACATAAACTTGCCCCCATACATGAATGACAGTAAACAAGGTGAAAGCATGAGCACTCATACATGAATCATAATAAATGAGGGGGATGTACGTACATCAGAGCATGAATTTAGAGATGTATGCATGTACCTACACCCTTCTTGAATCTTCCTTGTGACATTCTCCCCCACTCAATCTCGGGACGCCCTCATCGTAGACTCCACATGAAATACCTCGATCAAGTCTTTGACGCCATAGCGAATGATCCTTCTCCCAAGTGATGTCGCTTTCTGGCCACCCCTTCCACTTGACAAGATACTCCACGTAGCTTGGGTGAACTCCACGCTTAGGCACAATACGATGAGCCATGATCTTCTCCACTTCGTGTTCATGTGTTGTGGTGATGAGTGTTGGTGCTCTCGTTAACTCATTCCTCATTTCATCTTCCTTTTCTTCATGATAAGGCTTCAAATTGACTCAAATGGAAGACGGGGTGAATCTCCAAATGCGATGACACTTCAACTTTGTACGCCACCGTGCCAATCCTCTTTAGAATAGGATATGACCCTTCATATCTTCGCAGTAGCCCCTAGTGCACATTTTTTAGGTGCTTGAATCAATGAGGGAAGAACTTCAACATCACCAAGTCTCCCTCCTCGAATTCCAAGTGACGCCACTTCTAATCCGCCAATTTCTTCATCTTCTTTGTTGCTCAAGCGAGATAAGACTTAGCCATCACCATCTTCTCATGCCATCCTCGTGCAAACTTGTAGGCAGCGGGACTGTTGCCTTTGTACCCCGCCGTCACTGTATTAGGTGTCAACGGTTGTTGCCTGGTAGCCAACTCGAACAAGCTCATGCTTGTGGCTTCACTTCGTTGTAAGTTGTAGGAGAATTGGGATGCATCCAGTAGCTCCACCCAATCCTTCTGGTTGGCACTCACATAAAGCCTCAAGTAGACTTCCACCAAAGCATTGACCGCTCGGTTTGCCCATCCTTTTGAGGATGAAAACTCGTGGAGAAGTTTAGATTGGAGCCCATCATCTTGAACAACTCCCTCCAAAACTTGCTGGTGAAGCGACCATCTTTATCACTCACAATGCTGATCGGGATTCCCCAATATTTCACAACATGCTTGAAAAACAAGTGGGTTGCATCCTCGGCTATCATGTCCTTGGGCCTCGCGATGAAGACTCCATACTTCGAAAATCTTTCAATGATGAGCATGATGGAACCATACCCTTCAACTTTGGGAAGGCCGATGATAAAATCCATGCTAACACTTTCCCAAGGTCATTGCGGAGTGGGTAATGGCTCCAACAAGCCCGCTGGACTCCGCTACTCCATCTTGTCTTACGGGAAGACAAGGAAAGTCTTGATGTAAATTTCCACATCGTCTTGCATACGAGGCCAATAGTAAGCTTCTTGAACTAGAGCTTGTGTGCGCTCGATGCTGGGGTGACCAGCCCACTTTGAGTCGTGGCACTCCTTCATGATCTCCCTTTGTAGGTTGTCCCACCGTGGCACAAACACTCGCTCCCCCTTAGTTACGATGAACCTATCTTTCATCAAAAACTGCCGAGGCTTCCCTTGCTTGATGTACTAGACCAAGGTTTAGGCGAAGGGGTTGTGACCAATTCCTTTTTTGATCCGCTCCCTCAAGGGGAACTGTGGCTCGCTGATGGCAGCAAGTGAGCTGTTTTGGCTAAGATCATCAGCAACAAAGTTGGCTTTCCTCAGTTTGTACTCCAGCACAAAGTCAAACTCCGCGAGGGAATCTTGCCACCTTGCTTGATTGGGGTTGAGCTTCTCTTGCATGAGGAGTTGGCTCGTTGCCACGTTTTCCGTCTTTACCACGAATTTCGACCCGAGAAAGTAAAGTCTCCATGTTCTCAAACAATGGAACACCGTCGTCTTCTCCTTTCCTTGCACCGCGCATCTTCTCTCGGCCTCATTGGGCTTGCGACTCTCAAACGCAATTGGGTGTCCCTCCTGCATCAACACACCACCAATAGAAAATCAGAAATGTCATTTTGTACCTCATACGCCTTGGTGGGGTCGGGAAGTGATAGCGATAGCTCCCTCATCACCGCATCTTTCAAGGACTCAAAAGCTTCGTGGCACCAATTCAACCATTCCCAAGCCTTGTTCTTCTTTAGAAGATCCGTCAAGAGTTCTGCAAGAGCGGAGCATCCCTTGATGAATCTCCTATAATAGATCGCAACTCGGTGACCCTTGGTGGCTTCCATCCTTGTATCGCCTCCACATTCACTTCGTCCATCTTGTATTTCCTCCACCAATGATATGGTCGAGGAAAGGAACCTCTGTGGTGGCAAATATGCACTTCTCCTTCTTACCATATAGCTCGTTGTCTCGAAGGATTTGGAACACTTGTCGTAAGTACTCGACATGATCATTGAGTGTGTTGTTGTACACCACGATGTCATCCAAATACACCACGACGAAGCGATCCAAGAACGGCTCGACTACTTGATTCATTAGAGTGGAAAAAGTAGCAGGAGGGTTGGTTAGACCAAAAGACATAACTAAGAACTCATATGAGCCATACCTCGTCATGCAAGCAGTCTTCGCTTCGTCCCCCTCTGCTATCCTAACTTGATAGTACCCCGAGCGAAGGTCAAGCTTCATGAACCACTTTTGCTTCTCCAAGTTGATCAAACAAGTCGGCAATGTTGGGGATTGGCCACTTGTTCTTTACCGTGAGCTTGTTAATAGCTCGATATTCGATACACATCTGCAACAAATCATCCTTCTTCTTTTGGAACAACACGGGTGCTCCATAAGGGGATATCGATGATTGGATGAAGCCTGAATCCGTCAACTCCTTAAGTTGCTTCCTCAATTCCTCCAACCTATGGAGGGGCCATGCGATAAGGTGCTCATGTTGGTGGCGTTGCCCCCGACACAAGCTCGATCTTGTGATCAACTTCTCTTCTTGGTGGGAGCTTCTTTGGCAATTCCTTCGACATCACGTCTACGAACTCCTCCAACACGCCCTCGATGAGAGGTGTTGACGCGACCTAGACACCTTCTTCCTTCATTTGCAAAGTAACAAGGAATGTGGGTTCCATCTTCTTCACTCCTTTCACCTCTTGCATGACCGATAGAGCTCTTCTTGGCCCTTCTTCGCGCAACAACTTCACCGTGCAAAACTTATCTCCCTTATCAAGGCATAGAGTGTTGGAATTCATCGCCATCACAGCGCCCTCCTTCACCATGAATTTGTAGCCAAGGATGACCAGATGACTATCCATTGTGATGACGCTGAAGTCGGCAATGACTTCCCAACCTTCAATCTCCAATGGTACATTTTTGGCCACCCCATAGATTGGTATTGCCTTAGAGTTAACCGTCTTGAGCGATCCTTGCCTCTTCTCGTAAGCAATCCCCAAGCGCTCTGCCTTCTTCACTCTAAGGAAGTTGTCTGTCTCACCAGTATCAACCAATGCTTTCACCTCTCCTTCCTTGAATTGGGTGATTACAAAGAATCTCCCATTGTTGATCTCATTGGTGCCCGACCTGACGGCGCCTAGCCTCCGCATGGAGCCTATCTTCCCTTTCGCTTCCCTAGCATTTTCCTTGGTCTCCCCTTCTTGTTTCTCCAAGGCTTCTAGCTTGCTCTTCTTTCCAAAATCCCTCACCTTATGTGGACCATTGCAAAGGAAACAAGACATTGGTTTATCATAGATACTAGGTCTTGCTCCCTTGCTCAAGCCCCCATGTTGGTACGAGCTTTTCCCTTCTTTTGAGTGTTGCTGATGAACTCCTCCTCATTTGCTTTTCGAGTTCTTTGACTCGCTTGGTCTCTCACTCTTCTTGTACTCCATGAGAGCCTCTGTCATTGCCATGGCAGTAGCAAGATCTTTCACTCCATGCCTTTCAACCTCCAACTTCGCCCAAGGTTGCAATCTGAAAAGGAATCCAAACAAAGCCTCCTTGTCCAGAAGATCGGGGATCCCAAGTAGCAATTCCTAGAATTCTTTGACATACTCTCCTTGAAGCTCGTCAAACTCTTCACTTACTTCGTATACTTGGCCATGAACGGTCTCCTTCAATGACTCGATGGCGTTGGTGATGATGGTTACAAACTCCTCTCGAAAAGCTTCTAATCCCACCTCCAATCCCACCATACGAGTAGTCATGCCTTGCACGTCGCCCTTCAAGATCTGCACCTCTGCGCTGACTTGATCGAAGTTTGACTCCATGTCCTCGAACATGGTGGTGTACTTAGCAATCCTCGTCTCTGCTTTCACAAGCCTCTCCTTGAGTGCAACCAAAGGCTCTCGAGTAGATCTATCTCTCTGTTTCTTGTTTGTGTCCTTCGTTTGCTCATGGCTGCGTTGTTGCTCATCGTTGAGAACTTTGTTTCCTGATCCAGCCATCCTATAGAGGTTCTTTATCACTTGATGAGTTACGACATTGGCTTTGATACCACTTGTCACGGACCAACTCTTGGCCGTGCGGCACCTAGCACTCAAGTCTCGTTAGAGCGCTAAGTCAGCCTAGCCCGCAATCACTCAAACTCACAAATGTGGAGAAACTCTATAGATGGAAAGCTCTATATTCTTGGATGATTGACAAATGAGGGAGAGGGCTGCTTATATAGGCATCCTCTCCACTATGTACAATGTATGTGACCGTCATAAATGAACGAACCTAGAAGTCCCCCATACATGAACTTGCCCCCATACATGAATGATAGTAAATAAGGTGAATGCATGAGCACTCATACATGAATAGTAATAAATGAGGAGGATGTATGTACATCGGAGCATGAATCTAGAGATGCATGCATGTACATACACCCTTCTAGAATCTTCCTTGTGACAGTCCCTGCCGGATCAACCAAAAACCCCGAGAAGCAATCCTTACAATTCGCAAAACAAAACAAAAGGCACAATAGATAACCAAGTTTAAAGAACTTTATTAAAACAAGGCAAGATACAATTGTATATCCACAACTAGCATGTTTGTGAAAAATATATCCACAACTATTGAAATACACGAAATATGCAATTCCGTCCATTGCTTTAACGGTGTCAGTAAATGGTATGACCGGACTGACGGAAAATGGTGAGTTGGCAATTTATTGTCCCACCAGTCCACGTGGATTAATAAGAAAAGTAAAAAAGTAAAAATAAAATCAATTTATTTAAATTATAATCATTAAAAACAATAATTTATCCCCACCTCCACCTTCTTCCGCCGCTACTGTTGCGACCCCCAATCCCTACACAAAATAGGTTCCGCTCAAAATCAAGCCCCCTCTTCCCATCTCTCGATCTGCCTTCCATTCTCATGGAGGAGGTTAGATCTCCATTTTCCCCCCTTCCCATCTCGCGAACAGTTATCCCTCACTGGGATCTCCATCACCGCTGTGGCCAATCAGACCTCGGGGAGAGGATTCTCGTTGGAACTCCTGATGTCGCAGGAGCTGGCGCTGGCGCTGCAAGATGAATCTTCGGTCCAGAGAACAGGTTGCACGCTCGGAGGAGGCCTGATCGGTGCGGGAGTCGTTTCGCTGCCTTTTCTATAAAAGCACATATCCCCAGATCGACTCTCGTCATGCCCGTCGCCTCCGAATCTGAAGACAATTCGTGCCAGAGAAAGCACAGATCTCCAAATCCGAAGGCGATTGGCGTCGTAGAAAGCATATACTCCACACATCTGAAGCTGATTAGCGTAGAGAAAGACCAGATTGATCTGCACGATGGCTTGTAGTCTCCTCCTCCTGCTCCTCTTTTACTTTGCTTCCGTGGAAATGCCCCCACTCCCATAATGAAATGGTGAATGAGCTTACGGACATTCTTGTTTTAGGTCAATCTAGGTTTGGCCTTTTTTGGGGTTTCAATTGATGGGTTTTGCTTGCAATAGGGCATGTTCTTGCACTGAGATATTCATCTGGGTTGGTGTGAGTTTGGCTATTTAGTTTAATTTTGTTAATGATCTCTTGTGTCTGATCTAAGCTTTTGACTGGGACTACCGGATTTCTAGGTTTAGTTTAATTTTGCTTTGAATGCTAGCTTTCCCCAACCTGCTAGCGGAGGGAAGCGTTTAATCGACGGCAGACAGCCACGTTTCTCCAGGGTATAATAAAGAAAAAAATTATTTTTTTATTTATTTGCTGACGTGGCATCCACATGTGAAATTTTGCTGACCTGGAGCTTACGTGTGGGATGGGTATAGTCCTAGTCAGCGTTCCGTCACATTAACTGACGCCGTAACAAACGACGTTAAAGTTTGCAACGGAAATGGATAGATTTGTCACACAACCCTCCAATTTTTGGATATTTCGTGTATTTCGATAGTTGTGGATATATTTGTCACAAATGTGATAGTTGTGGATATACAGCTGTATTTTACCTTAAAATAATTTATATGAAAAAAAAAGAGGAGCTCACACCTCGAGCTCGTCTGGCTCGTGGGTGGTTTCCTAGTTATGGCATTCGATGCAATTCTGGATACATTCCTAGCCAACCAGAGGTGTCTCCAAGGATGTAAGGGACAATTTAGCCCCATCCGAGAACTGAAGGAAGCAAAGGAAGACAACCGATCACTTGTTAGTAAGGCGCTGGCCGGAACCCGTTTCGAGGTGGTGATGAGGTTTTCTATACACGAAGATCTGCTCGTTAGATCAGAAAAAGAAAGCTGAGTTTATGCTTGGCAGTGAATCTCGAGATTTGGGGGATATCTTCAAATAGTTTCTGGTATCCTGGAAAGGGGGGTTTGTTTTTTCTCCTTATCAGATACGAAAACCTAATCCTACTCAAATTCAAAAAACATCCTATCGGATTGGGAATCCTTGGCTTATACGGCTCCCCTTATTGGACTATTTAAAACCTAGACCCCGACCTCTTGTTCTCATTTCATCAAAAAGTGGGGGGGAGAGAGAGAGAGAGGTTTGTGGCGTCAACGACGAGTGGACTCCTACCTTACATGTAGTGTCCCAATCCTGGTAAGCAAGGGGATGGTAATGCGCTTCCTGTAAAATTATTGAATAATAGCGGAGTACCATGGTCCATGACTACGTCCCCTATCTTCTTCCCATCTTTCTCCTCGACCTCGTCGGAAGTCCCAATACGGGTGGAGTTTTCCATCACGAAGAGGGCGACCGAAAAGGGGAATACGAATAGTAATTCCTTCATTATTATGTAGGCTGGTGATATGGCGCGAAGATGATCAAGTGGTTTCATTCTCGCTTGAGGAAGTGCAATCCTCGAAATTGCGTAGCTTAAGAACCCTGCTCGGGCGAATCTTCACGGACAACTTAGTCACGCCTCCGAGCTTTGTGATGCTCTGAACGTGCCTTGGCAGAGCAAGGGTCAGATTCGGGTCATGGAGACAAGGCATGAATAGTTCGAATTTGTCCCGCCGAGTGAAGCATAAAAAATTTGCGTGCTAAAGCGCACCCCGTGGGTGATCAAGGATAAAATCCTAGATCTTCGGACTTGGACTCCCATAATCTCAAAAAAATTTCTCGACGATCTAGCAATTGTCTCCTTTCGTGTGCAGTTATGAGACGTGAAGGATGATTGTTGCATTCAACAGTTCGCCAGGAAGGTAGCGAATGCTACCATTGGCCATGTGCTAGAAAATGACATGTTCATTTTTCAGGACACGGACCAATGAAAGTGCGTTCTCTTATCAACTTCACCAAACAGTTGCGATCCCAACTCATGGTAGAAAATGATGAAACGTGATGCTTCTGGGTCTCTCTGAAATATGAGTACCTCCCGAGCTTATGCTACCACTGTGGTAGGGTTGGCCACATGCAGCTGGAATGTAATTTTTACCCCCCTACTAGAAAAGAAAGGTTTGGGTCGCACATGTCAACAAAGAAGCTAGAAACGAAGATCTATGATGCGGATGAAGAAAACCTCCCTTTTCGAGGGAAGCCGACGTCCGTCTGAGTGAACAAGGAACTGCGGGGATCACGAGAAAATGAGGGTCCGCAGCTCCATAGATTGGATCGCGCTGGGGTTGGGTCCTAGGCCGCCCGCATCACCGTTACTTGCCGCTGGGAGATCTGAGTCGCCAAGATCGACGGAGGGTTTCAAGTAAGAGATTGGGCGCAGTCCCAAGGGATTTCTGGTTACCAAGCCTCCAACAATTTTTCTAAATCGTGACATGCAGAGGACTGGTCCCAAGGGTGAGGGGATGAATACCCGTGACAAACGTGGGAAGTCTCAACTTCAATCGATGAATATGACTGGAGCAGCAGTTGCTCCAAGGCTATCTTAGGTTGAGACAAGCGCTCGCAAGGGTGACCGGAGGGCTATGAGAAAACGGAAAATAACCGACCATGATGAGGCTCTCAGGAAAGCCCAGCCTTCACGACGCTGACGTCTAGTGCTGGAAGACTCAGAGGAAGAGCTCCCTATGGCAGATTCGACCCTAAGGGATGAACCTAGAAGCTATGTGAATCATCACATGGTTCAAGCTCACCGGTCAAGCAAAGCTCCAGCCCTACCGCCAGTGAAACTAGGGACGTCGAGTTTGACTAGGTCGTGACCAGTGCCGGTTAAGCGGAGCTGTGATGAGCTGCCTACTATGTCTGAGATATCGAGTGACCATGATGGTAAACTTATGGCTGCTCGCCAACTCGCGGAGCGCAAAAGGAAGGGAAAGATGATTGGTGAAGAACCTATGGAAGAGGAATGGGAAATGGGGCTCCATGATGACTTGGAGGATGATCTTTCATCTCCATTGCAAGCACATGGTGGGGTGGGGGAGATCTGAATGATGATCAGGAGGGGGATGCTTCTGAAGCTACCCTCTCGGCGGAGGAGAATAATGGCTTTGAGCTCAAAAGTCAGGCTATGACCCATACCCATCGCAGGACTCAGCCGACCAATGTTGGGCATGTACGTCAAATTGTACAAGCCTTGGAATTTGTGATTGTGGTTAAGGACCAAAGTGACGGAAATGGTATGGCCCTTAGTTTGAACGAATATGGTTCTAATGTGGCTGTTCCGGGGATTGAGGAAGAAAGACAACATTGCTCGAAGTTACTGGAGAAATTGAGGGGGAGTCGAACCCAAAGAAACAATTTGCGGAAGATTTGGAAATCCAGGAGTATGAAGAGGTGGAGGTAGCTAGCTCTAAATGGCCCCTACCAAATAAATGAAGTTACTGGAATGGGATGTGAGAGGAATTGGACCCTCCCTCACATTTCAAACTGCAGTAGGTTTAGTGCTTTCCAATAAATTGGAACTTGTCTTCCTGTCGGAAACAAGGTCTAGTCGGAGAGTAGTTTCTCGTCGTATGCGGGGTTTAGGATTTCAACTTTCTCATTGTTTTTTGATGATGCAGTCGATGCATCTGGTGGTTTAGTTGAAGCTTGGTCCCCCGGAGTTGATGCTTTGGTGATTTCCCATTCTAGTTTTTTCATTTGTACTCGTATTAATGAAAGAAAATCTTCTTATGTGGTGGTTTGCATTTACATTAGCTGTGATGAAATAATAAGAGCTACCCAGCTCGATCAATTTCGGCGCATTTGTGAATAAATCTCTTTACCATTCGTGGTAATAGGTGATTCAATACCACGTTAAATGCGAGTGAAAAGGATGGTGGTTACCATTTGTTAAATACACACTTTCATACATGACCTGGGTCTTCATGACCCAGGCTATCAAGAGGATCAATTCACTTGGACGAACAAAAGGATGGTCCTTCCTGTATGCGTAAAGACTGGATCGTGCCCTTTGTTCCCAACTTTGGATTGATAATTACCCAGAAATCCTTGTCAAACATTTCATGGATCAAGGGTCAGATCATAGGGCTTTTCTCTTATATGATAAATCCTATCCCCGAAAGATTCGACCTCTTTTCAGGTTTGAAGCTCGATGGGCGGATAACCCGGAAGTCAGAGCTATGGTGAATTATGTTTGGCAAGAGGATATCCATGGTTCACCTATGTACAAACTCTGGATAAGACTGAAAAAGCTCCGCCATTTGCTCTATGACTGGAGTAGGGCGGGAACTACGAACTCCTTACGTAACATAAAAAACCTCCAGACTGAAATTGAACGCATTAAACAATAGCTCCGGATTGATTGGGATGAGGTGCACATTCTGGAGGGAGAGCTTAGCCGACAATGGGAGGCGGAGGAGATCTACCGGCAATGGACATCTAGAGTACATTGGTTAAAAAAGGGTGATCGGAATAAATCCTACTTACATAGGATCACTAGAGTAAGGAGAAAACGTAATTGCAAGGTTGGTCTCAAGAATGATGATGGTGAATGGATCACGGAGGAAAACGGGAAGGTGGATGTGGCCATTAATTTCTATCAGACTCTTCTTACTTTGGAAAATCATATTCTAAATATGGAAGAGAGGAAATTTGGCCTTCCCATGCAGAGGAAAGTAATTGATAATATGAATGCATGCCTCACGGCGAAGGTCCTGCCCACCGAGGTTCGGCAGACGGTCTTCTCTTTGAGATCAAGCAGACGCCCGGTTCTGATGGTTTTAATGGGAAGTTCTTCAAATCCTTGTAGGACATCGTAGGAGAGTCAGTGGTTGAAGCTATCTGCGCGTTCTTTCGAACAAACCGGATTTTACGAAGCTTTAACCATACTTGACTTACTTTGATCCCTAAAGTCGATAATGTAGAGAATATCCGCTAGTTGTGACCAATAAGTTTATGCCAGTTTGTGTACAAGATTAACACAAAAATCATGAATGAAAGACTAGCTAAGTTACTCCCACATATAATCTCAGATGGGCAAAATGCTTTTAATCAGGAAAGACAAATTGTGGAGAATATTCTACTAGGGCTAGAACTTATGCACTATCTAAAAATCAAAACCGTGGGAAGAAAGGGTACATGGCTCTAAAGGTTGACATGGAAAAGGCCTATGATAGAGTCGAATCTCCCTTTCTCTTTGCGGCTTTTGCTAAATTAGGATTCAACAGGACTTGGATAGGATGGATCTAGGAGTGTCTCATATCAGCGTCCTTCTCAATTCTGATGAATGGCACGCCACATGGCTTTTTTAAACCCACCTGCGGGCTCCGCAAGGTGACCCACTTTTTTCGCTCTTGTTTTTACTCTACACTTAAGGATTTGCGTCACTTATACATAAAGCTATTGCCCAGGGTAAACTGGAAGGTGTAAAAGTGGTGCCCCAAGCTCCTCAAATTTCACACTTATTCTTGGCAGATGACTCTTATTTGTTTCTTCGAGGATCCTTGCAAGAATGTGAGAATCTGATTGAGTTTCTCAATGAATATGAGGAAATCAGTGGGCCATGGGTCAATTTGGCAAAATCGGCAGTCTGTTTCATTAAGAATATTTTTGTTCCTGATCAGGAATTCTTGGCCCATGTGTTAGGGGTGGGAGCTGTGAGAGTCCAAGATAAATATTTGGGTTTGCCCACCCTTATAGCTCAGTCTAAACTAGCTACGTTCCATTTTTTTAAGGAACGGTTGATGGCACGCCTCCAAGGGTGGACCCAGCGGACACTTTCCTTGGCAGTTAAGGAAACCTTGATCAACTCAAATGCCTCGGCTTTGCCGCTGCACATGATGTCATGCTTTAAATAGCCTCTCACCCTTTGTCAAATTTTGGATAGACTTGTGGCACGATTTTGGTGGGGAGTTGAGGATGGCCATTCTAGAATACGATGGATGTCTTGGCGTAAGATGTGTCGGAGTAAGCGTGAGGGAGGTATGAGGTTCCGAAGGTTTGAGCACTTCAATCAGGCTTTGTTAGCCAAGATTGGATGACGAATACTAATGAACCTCAGTATCTCCTTGCTCAGGTGTATAAAGGGAAGTATTTTCCCACTGGTACCTTTCTCACTTCCAGGTGATCTAGTCCTTCCTGGGGGTGGCAAAGTATCCTATATGGGCGGAAATTATTGATGAATGGTTTACATTGGTAGATTGGGAATGGGGAGTCAGTTTTGCCGCTTTAAAGGATAGTTGGGTTTCGGCCCTGGATCCCGACCCTCGACTTACAATCCTCGGATTCTTCCTAAAGGCGGGGACCTTAAAGTGGCAGATTTGGTGTGCCCGGGTGGGTGCGGTTGGTCTAATGATAAACTTTCTCAATGGTTCCATAATGCCATCTGTCGTGCTATCAAGGCTATCCCTTTACCCTCGGCTGGTTATAGCGAATAAGTTGATCTGACATGCCAGATATGATGGAGTTTTCACGGTAAAATCGACGTATCATTTAGCGGTGCAGATAGATAAGCAACAGGGTAGGTGGAGTCCCACGATTAGCTGGATGGATCGACAAAGTTGGATCCGGCTGTGGGGTTCCACGATTCCATCCAAGCTAAAGGTCTTCTTATGGAAACTATTTCACTGGTTCCTCCCAACCATGGAAGCCCTTATTGAGAAGAATGTCCCGTTGGATCCAAGGTGCCCGGTCTGTTGGGAAGCTTCTGAAACTAAGGAGCATCTTTTCCTAGAGTGCCCTGTAGCAAGAGCTCTATGGAACTATGCTAGGTTGGAGCACCTTGGCCAGGGGCTCCCTCGTAAGACTTTCCCGCTTTTTATCAAAAAATTATTGGCTCTCATTCAGTGTAACACCCTACCCTATACGTTTTGCCTAATCATATTGTTCATACAATTGCAGCGGAATTAATCTCGGGTGTTACATTAATCATCAAATTTTACCCAAATAAAATTTCGACATGAATTACTCGCGTAATGGGCTAACAGTTCTTGCAACTTATCCAGCAAAATAATTCATCACAAACATATATACTCACAACCATATGCATTGGCTTTTCTTAGCCATAGTCACACTTTTCATACTCCACAACTGCATACCATACTTATACGTACCATAATCGTCACAACTTACACAGTTAGACGACATATACACATATCATCAACTTTCCACACCTGTGGATATCTCACAATACATCAGAAGCTAGTATGCACATGAAAAATGTTCTCAAAACATTTTTACAAAAAGGTGTGGATCATTGGCCAAAATCCCGAGTAGTCGTCCAAGTACAGAATAGTTGAAGACCATACCTCATCCTGGCTTCAACTCTAGCTCCTCTCCCACCTAACACTTATCTACTGCTGCTGATGATGATCTGCTTACACATAGCATAAGCAGAGAAGAAGAATAAAAGAGGGTCATCTCATAGCTGAGTGAGATAATCATAGCATCGTGAGTTCATAACAGAGCATACCCCTCTCATACATCTAACAATCAAGCCAAAACATTAGGATCAGACCTCAGCCATCCTCATATCCAAATAGGCAAAAGACTCAACCACCTTGACTTATGCATATGCATCTTATCATGTTTTAATCATAGGCGCCTGGCTACTCCCATGCTAATTACTCTCCCGAGAATACGTACCAAACATCTCGTGGATGTGGTCATATCGGACTCACCACTGTCGGTGTAGTCATATCGGACCTAACACCACTCTGGGTGTGGTCATATCAGACTCAACACGACTCTGGGTGTGGTCATATCTCATGATGAATCAATGGTCAACACCATATCAGGGGTGTGATATAACATATCATAACAGAGTAATAGCATGGGGAGCCCTAATTACTATGTAATTGACCATGAGACCAAAGTACTCTTACTTTGTATCCTTATACATGATCCATATCTCATCTTGCTAAATCATAATTCGTTACTTGCACATGTACTTGACCTGGCCACAATTGGCTCAACATAGGTAAATCAGGAGTCGTATAATTGCACTTCCTCGGGATAAACCCTCGTGCAAGTCATCCAAATACTTAAACGTCATAATATCACCAGGGAATATATATTTTCCCACATGTGCATCCAAATACAACAATCATGAAAAATCATACCCAATCACCTTTTCGAACCATCATAAGGCATATCAACAGTCAAGCTCACAAT